TATATATATATATATATATATATATATAATATTATCTATAATTATTGAATATATTTGTACATTGTTAACATACAGTAAACTTTTAATTATATTTATAGGCAATAAATAATAAACTTATTATTTTATTGTCCTTCCTGTATATATTATATACAGGAATAATAAATATTATATCTATTTATACTTAAATAATACATTAAACTCGCGATAAACAAACACCAAAAAGAACAAACATCTATAATTAATTAATTAATTAATTAATTAATTAATTAATTTAGGCAAAGACACTTGTACCAATGCCAACGTTAGCACCGCTAACGTCATTGAAGCAGAAGAACCTGCAAAAAGAAAAATACAAAAATACAATAACTCGGGTGTATACGCAGCTCATTAAGGGAAAAAATAGTATACACAGATGTAAAATAGTACTCCCTACTCTCCTCTCTACGTATACACTATAAATAGTATATACTGTAAACACTAGATTGGAGAAGAGGACATTGAATAATTGAATAAGGAAGACTTACACGCGCTCAACGGGGATGCCGAGATGTTTCTGGCAGTGAGTAGCGACTTCAACACAAATCATATTATTTGTTCTTGTGCTGATTCCTCCAATAGAGCTAATGCAGACACTTGCTGCAGGATCGGCGCTTCCTCCATGTCTCATCTGTCCATGGGTGATGCTGACGTTAATATATTGAGTAGGCTTGCCAAGAATCTTGCTCAGTGCTGCAAGGAAAACATAAAAAAGGAAAAAAGAAAAGAAATAATACTTCTTTTGTCATGTAACAAGGAGTATACAGATGTAACTTGAATGATAACTATATACACCGGAAATGCCGCTATGCTGATGATCGCACACCCCACCACGAGAAAAAGGGGAAAACGGCATTAAATGAGGGTCCAATGCAAGGAACAATGACAAAAAAGGATAAATTTATTGATTTTATTCATGAAAATGTTTTATTTATTCGCTTACATCCCTCAACAGCGGAGAGGAAGGCATCTGCAGTGGCCTTCTCGAAGTTCACGTTGGACACGATCTGGCAGAGCGGCATTTTCAGGTGTATATACAGTTGAAAATGGCAAAGGAAAGCGAAGAAAGTTGAATGTAAATGTTAGCTTGTAAATGCGTATTTTGTTGCAAATTTTAATCTGATGAGAAGTGCTCGTGAATAATCCCCCTTTCTGCCTCCTCTTCTTCGTCCAGTTGGCGGGGGGAGGAAAGGAGGAGAGGCACCACCAACAGCCCCAGTTAGCGGCAGGCAGCCCCCTGTACTTATAAAGTAATGGAAACTTGGAGGAAAGCTGTGGTGTGTTTGTTGAATATAAGAGTTAATGGAGTGTATATTGAATTTAAGACAAGAAAAACGAAGAAAGAGAGGGAAAGAGGATTAAAATAGGGCCTCTATGAGGCCTCAACTCCTCATTTCTTATAAATTCAAGCTTTCCTCCTCCTGTCTTTTCATCTTATTAACATAAAGACAGTGTCTATTAATTCTTTCTCTCCTTCTCACATATTTTCTTCTTTTTTAGTATATTTTTCTTTCCTTTTCTTTCTTTTATCCTCATGTTTCCTTACCGAGCATCATAACCCTAGCAGCAGCATAACCATAACCATCATCAGGAGCAGAATTGCCAAGGATGTCGTTATCCTCATCCTTAATGCCTTTACGGCGTTCTTTAACATTATTGTCCTCTTCTTCTTCTTCTTCTTCTTCCTCTTCTTCTTCTGTACGATCAAGAGGTGCACCTATACCATTAGATAAAAATATACAATTTAATGATATAATAAGACCTTTATGGGTAATTGAGCCCCCTAATTATCTTCGTCAGCCAATTTATAAACAATTCTGGGAGGCACAATTCAGTAATAAAAGTTTCTTCTTCTTTGGTAATGCTTGGACCTCTGCTGCTGCTTTTGCTGCTTTTCTTTGGTGGAGTAGGCTATTCGGTAAGTTTATTTATTTCTTTCTTTATTTCTTTTATTTAATTTATTAGTATTATTAATTAATTAATTAATTAATTAATTAATTAATTATATTGATTAATTTACTAGTTAATTAGATGTGTGTATATAGGAGTAATAGTACAAGAAATACTACTACAATATACGTTATGTGTATTTATATATGTATTATTAATTCATTTTTTTTTTATTTCTTCCTTTTTATATATTTAGTTATATTATTATTTATTTTATTATTCATTATTATATATTGTTTTTTCTTTATTTGTTCTTTTTTCTTATTTATTATTTATTTATTTATTTATTTATTGTATTTGTTTGTTTGTGCAGATCCTCCCCCTAAGGAGCGTCTAGATCGTTATTGGTATAATTCACGTAAGTCTTCTTTCTCCTTATTTTCTTCTTTTCTTTTTTTCCTTTTTATTCATTTTCTTTTATTCCTTTTCTTCTCTTTATTTCTTTTACTCTTTTCTGTTTTTTTCCCCCTGTATATCTTGTCTTTTTCCTGCCTATTTCCTTTTTGTCTACGTACTACTTTTGTATTTATGTTTATATATATTATATATATTCTTGTCTTAATTACTTTCCTTTTTATTTTTTATTATATTAAGTATCTCCTTTTATTTCTTTTCTCCCTTTTGTATCTATTATTACAGTTAGAATAACTCTCCACTATTTCCGGTGTATAGGCAGCTGTATAAATTGTATACTGAATTCTTTGCAGATAAATGCATATGTATATGTATAAAAAACGATAGAAATAAGTAAAGTATAAATAAATAAATATATTAATTAATAAATAAATAAATTTATTAATTTATTTTGTTTATATTTGCAGCAAAATTTCGTATTCTTTCTGCATTTCATAACCCTGGTAAGCGTCCAGGTGTAAAGATATGTTTAATGACATTAGAGGCTCGTTATTTTTATAGAGGAGAAGATCATCCTTTTTCCTTAAATGAATTAAAAGATTTCTTATTTAAATTAAAAGAAAATTATTTGATTCATAAATATACAGGAATTCAATATCCATTCGTATTCAGACAATTCAATAGAGTACATACACCTGGAACTCTTGAGGTAAACAGTAAACCCTAATCAGTAAACCCTAAACCCTTTGTTTCTATATAAATTAAAGAAATAAATATATATATATCTTTATAATATATATAGAAAGAGAAGGAATATAAATAAGAAGGTTTTTTTTCTATTTTGTCTTTTTTCTTGTTTGTTTGTGGTGTTAGGTTCATCTTGCTGAGCCTCTTGCTGATGAACATCATGATGATAAAGGAAAACATTAATATAAATAAATAATAATAATAATTAAATAATTAAATAAATTATCCTCTAATTTTTAATTAATAATTAAAAGATCTGTTTATTCTGCTCTCCTTATATAAGAGAGAGAGAAACAGCAGCAACATAAACAGTAACCACAGCGCCGCAATAGACCCTCATAAACCCTAAACCCTCATAAACCCTAAACCCTCATAAACCCTACCAAACCCTAGGAGAGCTGCATATCCGCATTGGGTTATTGAATGCCATGCGGTGTATGTACAGCAGCAGCTTCCTCTGTTATTTTGTTTGTTTTTCTTTTATGTGACTAAACAAATATGCATAAAGGCTATTTATATTGCCTCTATTAATTAATTAATTATTTATTTATTATTTATATTATTTATTTATATATATGTATACCTCTATCTCTTCTTTGTATATTTTAAACAAATAAATAAAAAAAGGAATTAAAATAGTTATATATAAAGAAGAAAAAAGAAGAAAAAAAGAAGAAAAAAAGAAGAAAAAAATGCATGCATTATTTCCTCTATTACTGTCATATATAAAGAGGAAATTCTTTTCTTCTTATTTTTATACTTATATAAATAAAGGCAGATATATTCTCTGTCCTTATTAATTAATACTATATAAATATATATATAATAATATATTATTAATTAATTTAATTAATTAATTAAATTAATTAATTAATTAATTAGTTAATTAATTAATTAGTCTCTGGATGTATCTCTAACTGTATGCTTAAGTCCTAACCATCTACTCTCTACTATTTGCAGTGTATTCTTTCCTCCTTCTTTCTTCTTTTCTTTCTTTCCTTTTTCTCCTTTTTCTCCTTCTTTTTCTTCTTCTTGTTCTTCTTCTTCTCCTCCTTCTCCTCCTCCTGCTGTTAAACGCGCCAATACTTCGTCACCACCAACAGATACAGTTGCGTCTAACAAGAAAAAGCAACAAATACACATAAATTAAATAAATAAATAAAATAAATAAATAAATAAAATAAAAAAGAATTAAATTATAATAAATAATAACTTATTTATTTATTTATAATTAATTAAAAAAGATACACAGGAGGGAAACAAAAAGAAAAAAAAACAAATTCATACAAACCAACAAAATAAATACACGTTAAATAATAAATAAATTAAATAAATAAATAAATAAATAAATATAAATAAATATATATATTGCTTACCAACAACAGCGAATTGGAGGAAAGCCTTCTTAATTTTATTAAATAAGTATTTAGCTAAGGAAAGAAGAGGAAGAAGAAAATAAATAAATAAACAAAGATGGAAGAAAGTAGAGCTTGTATCCTGTAGTGTATATATTTGTTTATAAAAAGGTATATTATTATATAATAAATAATTATTTAATTCTTTATTTATTCTTTCTGTTAATCTTTTGTATATTGCTACATCACATACAATTAATATTTTTATTTTTTTCTTTTTTTTTATATAATTAGGTAAAGGAAGTCTTCCTTTCTCTAGTTCTTGTGCACGACGCATTAATGCACATTCGTTACTATTCCTCCCTATTAACCATTTCCTTATAAAGGTTTTCTCCTCAAAGTCCTATACAAAAACAAATAAAATAAAAAGAAAAAGGAAAATAGAAGAAAGAAGGAAGAACAAGAAAGAAAGAGGGAGGAAAAACAAGAAAAATGATGGGTGTACACATATATACACATTATGCACAATCAGGGAAAGGGAACAAGAAACAGGAAAAG